TACAGAAGAGAGAGAGAGAGAGAGAGAGAGAGAGAGAGAGAGAGAGAGAGAGAGAATATCATTGTTCTTGTCCTTTGGTCAAAAGCATGAAAGTTGATGTGTGTCCTGTGAATAAATGAAATATGTGTGCTGTGCTGTGTATAGTTCAACAGTCAGTCATTGTGAAAGAATTACAGCACCTTGTGGGTGGTTGGCGGGTGCTCTGGTATGGTTTGCTTCTTCTGTCCTATTAAACATCTATCGTCTCTATCTCCCCTGCTTCTTGTTTGTGTTTGTTACTCTCTACTAACACCTCTAATATTCTGCACTTGTATAACCTTATTGTGTTGCAAGTGCTGTAAAACTCTTTTCTAAAACCAACTGTTGTCTGAACATTATGAACTGAACAAGCTTACAGGTCATTGGAGCACTCCACACCTGCTGCTCTCTGTTATATTTGTTAACCTGCCTGTCTTGGACACATTTTTAACAGTGAAAATGTGACTTCTTCTTCTTAAGGTCACTTTTTTATGAACTGCTTAACAGGGAGATATGACAGGAAAGCACTGAGGTCGCGATTTGGTACGATCAGGTGGTTGGCGGGTTGTCTGGTGCGGTTTGCTTAGAACTTCTTTCCTATCAAACATCTATCGTCGGTATCTCTCCCCTCCTTCTTTTTTATGTTTGTTACCCTCTTGTAACACCTCTAATCTTCTGGCACTCATATGACCTTATATGCAGTTGCGAACGCCGTAAGTATGACCTTATGCAGAAAGTTGCGGGTGCCGTAAAACGCTTACTAAAATGAAATGTGAAATGTCTTCTTCCATTTTTTTTGGTTTGTTACGTACTTGTATAACGCCTCTGATTTTTGGCACCTTTTTTTTGTAACACCTCTAATTTTTTACACTTTTATGCACATGGTAGGAGGGCGCCACTGGTAGGTTCTATTTCTTTTCTTTCCACCAGTTGTTTCTTTCTTTCTTTCTTTCTGTCTTACTTCTCCCTTGCACTAAATGACAGTAATTGCGTTGATGCACTTCTCTTTACTCTATACTCAGTGGGTGGTTAGCGGGTGCTCTGGTGTGGTTTGCTTCTTTTTTCCTATCAAACATCTATTATCCTTATCTCCCCTTCTCTTTTTTTGTTTGTTACTCTCTTGTAATACTTCTTATATCTTCTGGCGCTCATAGGACCTTATATGCAAGTGCGAGCGCGGTAAAACCTCTACTAAATCTACTAAAACAAAAACATTTACTCTTTACTCAAACAAAACAAAACAAAAGCACTGTTATGACTTAATTGTGATGCAAGTGCCGTAAAACTATAATGAAAGCGAAATAAAACATTTGATGCCTCTGAGTGCTGGACATTGTGATAAAATTAATTTGATATAGACAGACATGTATGTATCTTGCAATGATAAGGCTCCTCTCTTGCACACTTCTCCCCCCCAACCCCCTATATCTGATAGATTTTAGGCTGTTTACCCCTATTCGTACGCCCTGGGGTCATTTTGTACCCCTGGAGTTGTATTCTTCACATTTTATAATACTTCTAGTACGAAGATCTCTTTATAAAAACTTTCAGTATTTCTCAAAAAATCATTTTGACAGACAGCTATGCAAAGCATTCGGATCGGATGAACGAGTAAATTTCTTCTTTGGAAAGCTGTGGCACAGAGTTCCCTATGTCGTATGGATATGATAGTAAAACACGACGTACGGATTGGGTTAATGGTTGACACAAGGACACAAGGGGAAACTGATGCTTTGCTATGGACAGGCATGTGTGTGTGCTTCCATGATAAGGCACTTAGCCTGAAATGCAGAGCACACAAGTTTAGGTCTGACCCCCTTTTTCCTTCAT